CATAAGTTTTACATCGTTTATTAGTCGTTCGTATTTTATATTGCAAACAACAATCATTTTATCATCTTAGCTTAATTTCACTCTCATACTTTCGTAGTGTAGCACTTGGTCTCTGTGGATTTGATCCCTTTTATACTACTTGTGTTATCAAACATTCAAATCTTTCTTCATCATGGACTTTGTAACTGAGAAAATGTAGGCCATGACGGCTTCAGGTTTGGTATTTTCATTGATCCAACGGCTTCAGGTTTGGTATTTTCATCACAGTTTTTTCGATCAAAGTCCAACGGCTTCTCTATCAACAGCCTCATCTCAACATGGCTACGGAAGATAGAACCGCAGGCAGATTCCAGGACAAAGACCTCCAGACGGTCTCTCAGGCACCGGATTTTCATTCGAAGAGCCGCATCTGGCACCTCATGATTGCCGGTTCATTTGCTGGTTCTGTCGAGACCATGGCAATGTCTCCCGTTTATGCCGTGAGGCAATATATGGTCATTCGTTCCTTTTCGAAACAACCTGGGGGAATTCAGCATGGTTTTCATTTCACAATCCAAAGGATGATACCCTCTACTCTCTACCCCAGGATATGGATGTTCGGCACCCGGCCAGCTCACGCTGTTTATTTCTCTGTTTACGAGGTATCAAAGGAATTCTTGTCAGCCAGAAATCCAAAGAACTCGGTCGCGCACGCAATCTCTGGTGTCTTTACTATTGCATCAAGCTGCCTTGTTTTCACACCAATAAATATGGTGAACACGAGCTTGCTGATTGGGAATTACAAAGGTGTCTTGGATTATGTCAAGAGGGTGACGCACGAGGAAGGACTCGGAGCGTTCTATGGCTCCTACATGAATAGGATCATGACGTACGCACCTTATTCGGCCGTTCAGTTCGCAATGTACGAGCAAGCAAAGAGGAGACCGATGGAGATATCACCGGAGAGTGAGTGTTGGCTGGTTCATGTCACCGCTGGAGCTGCTGCTGGTGCGTCTGTAGCGGCTATGACCACACCGCTGTACAACGTTAAAGCGCGGCTGTCTCGGGTGATTGATTCTTTCTGGTGGAATTTCTTTGTCGTTAGATGAAGAGTGTGTTTGCCATAAATGCTAAATGAAGAGTGTTGTGCTTCATTTACTCTAAGAAGACTAACATATGTGAAATGGCCTAATCTTTTTTTATTACATAACTCAATTGAGCAGGTCATACATAGCCTATGATCTTCTTGTTCTCATTACGTATCTGGTCATGTGCAGTGTGTCAATGACCACCACGACTCCGCTAGGATTTCATATAGCCGTCTCCTCATGACCGGTGTGAAATATGAAGGTTTAATGGGACTTTACAGGGGATGCGTACGTAATATGCTCATCCAAGCTCCTGCAATAGCCATCGGTTGGTCCACTTATGAGGCGGCCAAATCTTTCTTTCAGGATCTCAATGGCGATTCAAGCACGGCCTGAAAAAAAATCAGACAGCGGATCGATACAACAACTACCAAGTCTTGAGTTTTGTCTATATGATTTGTTCACCTCTAATTATCTTGGCTCGTTGATTCCAGTGAACTTGAGTGCCCGACTTGGCTATAGTTGTACAAAACCATGTTACTTCCAAACTTGTAATAACAAAGATCATGGGAAAGACATGTACAGTTTACGGTACACGCATACCAGAGTTTGCAGTTCAGTATGAAAGTAATCCATGATAATTACTTCAACTCTGCTAAACTGCTTAATGTGCCAAGTGTGTTGCGCAGATACAACATGGTTCATAAAATCACAATTCAGCCTTCATTATCATCCGAACTGAGGAAGATATATAAACTTTCAATAATTTGTAACGAAGCTGAACCCTTGTCTCCAAAATTGCCATCTTCTGTTGTGACTATAGCTAGATTTAAATTGTTAAACGCATATTAATATAAATTTATAATGGATTGACAGCAAGGCACCAGTGGTCTAGTGGTTCAATAGTACCCTGCCACGGTAAAGACCCAGGTTCGATTCTTGGGTGGTGCAGAGCTGTGAAGAAATTGTCTTTTCAGCTATGATTGGGTTCATAGAACTCATCTGATTTCCAGATGATTACGCCACACTCCTGAGCTCTCTTTTTTTTTTGTTTTCCTTCGGGACTCAATGACACCTCCCTCCTGGCATAGTGATTTGTATTGTGGTACACTGAACTGAAATAATTTGTCTCGACAACCTAATCATCGGGCCGTTGTTAACCGGTTAAAATATCTATAGTTGGGCCGAATGAAGTGGGTCAGCTTGTCTTTACCAGCTTTATGCTAATTTGTATATAACATTATTTAAGGTAGTAACAAACATCAAAGCACCAGTGGTCTAGTGGTAGAATAGTACCCTGCCACGGTACAGACCCGGGTTCGATTCCCGGCTGGTGCAGTTTGAGCTGTGATGATATCGGCTTCAGCTGTGGTTGGGTCCATAGCACTCATCTGACTAAAGATGTTTAACGCCACACGTCTGAGCTCAATTTTTATTTTTTTGTTCACATTTTTTTATTTGTCATCTAGATCTGACTCTGTTTAGATTCATGTTTGGGCCTTTTATATCTATAGATCAGCCTGGTTAAGAAAACGACTCGGTTATCTACTTTTCGATCCGAGTCAACTCAGTGTAACACACAACTCCATTGGCTTCTCTGTTCACCTCTGAAAAAGCAGCTTCTCTCGCTCCAGGTGATCTCACATGGAAGGTTCTTCTCTCCTCTTTCGTCTTTTTAGTTCTTCTAAGGATTAGGAAAACCAGATT